AATTTATAGTTAGTTAATATTATATAAGTGGATTAATAGTGAATTAAAGTTGATGTGATGTGTAAAAATAATTGATTAATATTATTTAATTATATTAATAATATTGAAGATAATGTGGTTCAACTAAATTTTTAGTATAAATTGAATCTATTACTATATAATATAGTTAAGAAAAATTATTCAAACAATTCTAAAAAAAAAATAATTCGTTTTCTCGCTTTTTAAAGTCATTTTCCCGCTTATGTTTTTCGTTTTTTTACCATTTTCGGCAAATTTTTTTGAATATTTTCGCATGTCCCCCCATGCAATTTGGTAACCAATCAAATCGGATCGGATATTGTAGGTTAGTTATAGATAACAGAATCTATGAGATTTTAACTTCCTTAAAATATGGAAAGACCATTTCTTAATTTAAAAAAAAAAGGATAAAAATGTGTACAAATAATTTGAAAATCTTGTGGTAACATATATTGGCTAAAATCCATCACTCGCCATCCTTTTTTTAAATAATATATACTTATATATTAAATATTTTTTTCTTAAAATGTAAATTTATTCTTTTTCACGTTTTTTTTAATTTTTTTAAAAATTACATACCTATATAAATAATAAATATCATGTAATATTCATAATATCACAATATTTTACTACTAAATTTCGTTGGAATAACTATGTTTTAAAAGGAATGTATAAATTTATTCAGAGTTTCATAAAGCTTTCAAATTACAATTCAAAATTATTTCGTAAATAAAATTGAATATAAAAAACATGCTTCAATACGTGTTCACATTAGAATTCAAAAAGAATTTCTATTTTTTATTTTATTTTATTAATATGTAGACAAAATCTCAATAATATCTACAACATGATTAGCTTTCAATTTTTTTCGGTTATCTACAACATGATTAAATCAATTGATTGGATAATTGAAGTCTGGATATTTTACACACATGATTAAAAATAGCTTTCAAATCCAGCCTTTTGAAAATATTGTTTTTAATTTTTTTATAAGTAAAAATATTAGCTTTCAAATCCAGACTTTTTTTATTATTATTTTTAAAGTAAAACTATTTTTCCATAATAGCTATAAATTTTGAGAATGTGTGCAATTAGGTATAGATAAAAGAATCCAACAGATTCTAAAAAAATATAAAAACACATTTCCTTATTTAAAAATTCAAATTCAAATTTGTGAGAAAAAAAATAGGAAAAGGATACCGATTAGGTTATTCTAAATTTGATGATAATCGTAGATTCAATCCCACATCAAAATATCATTTAAAAAAATAAAGAATCTAAGAAATAACTTAAACTTCCTATGAATAAGTCATGAAATGCGGACGTTCCACTTGATTTAATATAAAATATGTTGGTTTCAAGGATATGTGCAAATACTTCATATTTCAAATTATTTACCAGAAATAATAAACAAATAAAAATCCTCCCCACAGTACTAAATACTATAATATATAACATTCATGTATTTTAAAAGAATACTAGAATTTATTTACTATATATGAAAATTTTAAAAATAATTTGAATTTTGAAATTTGAATATCATAAGCATATATTATATTTTCTTCATATAATACGGTTAGCTAAAATAAGCATGTGATAAATAAAATTTTTATCCTGATAAATAAGTAATTTTTATCCATACAATTTTGCAAATAATATTTTTTTTTTCCAACAAAAAATGTTCTCCATACGAAAATAGCATTGTTTTTTAGCTAATATATTGTCTCTATCACTTTAGAATTAGTGAAATTTGATGTTGGACGGCTAATTTTTATGGGAATTAAAGATATGTGTGATAACTTTTATTATTTTTATATTTTAAAATCTATCTATAAATTGATCTTTGTATAGCTTATAATATGCGCCCTGAATTAAACTTGGTAGAATTTTGTAAGAACAATTCACTATTTTTTAATCTAACGCTAAAATTGTGTAAGGTTCATTAATCATACTTACAATATAATATAATAGCTTTATTTAAAATAACGTAAAAAAATTAAAATTCTATAATGTGAAGTAAATTCATAGCTTTATTTTAAAATAACGTAAAAATTGTAATTCTCTAATTTGACTAATTTCATGAAATGATTATAGCATATTTCACTATTATTCTCATAGATATATTTTATTTTCATTTTAAATTTGATTTATTGATACGATGCACAAAATAATTATTCCACTTCGTATAGTCAATCTATATTTGAATGCAAATTAATGTTAAGCTTACAGTAATTTTTACCAAATATTGTAGTTATCAAGCATTATAAAATTTATCATGCTAACCAAAAGACTTAATCATCCACATGGCTTAAATGTCACAAAATCAAGTTGATTTGATAGTAACAAAATCATCAACTGACCAAAAACAACAAAATTATAAAATCTTGATGATCACTTTTATTTAAAGCTATATAACTGGATAAGCTATAATTATATCATATGAAAAGTGATTTACCTTTTCTCTACAACCCTTGCCACTCAATTCGCCGATCGAATCTCCCTCGCCGGTCGTCTGGGTCCATCGGTGGGCGACCTCCGTCGCTCATCCATGGAGATGCAGCTTTCTCCCCTTTTGCTATTCCTCTTCTGGCTCCGCGTTTCGGCCAACGGCGTCGGTTCTCCTTCCATGTGGGCCGCCGGAGATCAGGTTCAGAAGGCGAGGGGCGGGATATGGTGCTGGTCCATGGACGAGGTCGAGCTAGCTGCACTCGGTTTCGACTGGGCTGCTAGGACGCTGTTTCCCCTCTTTTTCGCACTTCTCGTCGCCGGTTGGGACTGCGCCTTTTCGCCGCCGAAGCGACGATTGGTGGTGGCCTCCTCCTGTTCGACACTCGCTGTGTCAATTGGAGGTATGCCCTCGATTTTGCTGCTTTTGTCTCGGTATTCTATTTTGTCCGTGATCGGCGGGCTTCTTGGCGAGGAGGATTTGGGGGTTCACGGTTGGTGGTCGTAGTCACTGCCGGAGCCAGGTTGTTGCTTCCGGTTAGTGCTCGGTTGATTGACTGTGTTCAGCTGTCTCGGGCTGGGTTGAGGCGTGATTGCTGCTTCTCGTGACTAGAGTGCGGGCCAGCTCTTCGGTTGGTCCTGGGGTGCAGGTTTCGTCTTGCTAGGCCTTCTGCAGTGGCGGGCGGTTATTTCCGTGCTTTGGAGCTGTCTGTGGAGTTAGTTTGTCTGTCGTAAATCTAGATGTATTTTGGCGAGGGAGGCTGCGTCCTCTATCTTGTTTTCATTTTTTTAGTTAATTGTTAGTCTGTGTCTCTATTTGTAGTGTCGTTTATTGTGTTTTTGGTTTGGGCCGTTTGGCCTCTGTGAGCCCGAGTGTCACCTTATTATCCCACTGGGATCCGACACTCGGGTATTACTCTGTTAGGGTCTTTTTAGTTGTTAGTTGTTTTAGTTGTTTTAGTTGGTTAGTTTTAGTTGTTAGTTTTATTCTAGCGTTGCTAGTTGGGGCTCTAGGCGTTCTTCTGACCTGTCCTCCCACTTTTTTAAGCTGTTGGCTGCTGTGTATTCAGTCGTTGGCTGCTGTGTATTTGCACATTTGTGCATTTTGATTTATAATATAATCTATTGTTTTGGAAAAAAAAAAGTGATTTACCTGAAATATTATTAAAATTCCCGTCTAAAATTTTCAAAGTTAGTATTTTTAGGATTTTTTTAAATGGCGCCTGAATGAAATTAGAATTTAAATTTCAAAAAAAAAAATAAAAAAAAATTGAGAAAGATATTGTGTAAATCTTAATTCTTAAAAATATGGGCAATTATTTCCTTAAATGAGTAAATCTGACACATAATAAGAAAGAATATTGAAATTCTTGCTCCCAAGAAAATCGATCAATCGTTTTCTTAATTTTTTCAGTCTAACGTGTGAATTAGGTTACAAAAATCCAGTCACTCATTTAACGAATAAAAGATTTGAATTTTTTGTAAATCTTTCCAAAAAGTCATGCCAACGTAATTGTTAAATATTTTTTTTATCCATGTTTATCTATCTACAAATCTCATATTTATTTAATAAAGAATGTTATTTTCAGAAATTAATTTTTAGTACTTCATATTGTTCAACCTAATTGATGATTTTTTTGTCCATATTTATGTAACTACAAAATCTTTCAAAGTTTAACAAAGAATCTTATATTATGTGGATTCTTGGTACCTATTTTTTGTACACATCATTTTTCATCTCATACTCAAATTACAAATGTTAATGCGAATTTTAAATATCTCATATTTATTAAATATATATATATATATATATATATAGGATGTGGTTCAAATGAGAACCAAGTCCTAGTGTGAGAACCGTGAGAACCGCTATTTTTAATTGTATGTAGTGCTATGATTAATTGTGTTTTTGTGCTATTTTTAACTAGGATGTATTTGATTAAAAATAGCAACAAAATTTTTATTAGCATTTATGAAAATGATAGCACCATGTAATATTAAAAATAGCATCATACACAATTAAAAATAGCATCAAATATGGTTCTCACGGTTCTCACACCAGACATAGTTTTTATTTGAACCAGCCCCTATATATATATATATATATTTATAGAAGCATGACGATTCATGTAATTATTTTTATCAAATTACAAATGTTAATGCGAATCTTAAATATCTCATATTTATTAAATATATATATATTTATAGAAGCATGACGATTCATGTAATTATTTTTATCATATATCATGTGTTGGATGTTATTGACTTTGTTGGAGACACTCATTATATTCAAATAAATAATATATAATTTTCTATATTTTTTAATTTATTTTGTTGCAATAATGAGATGTTAAATGTAAATAATTATGTTTAAAATAAAATTTTAAAATAGTTTTAAGTAATAAACCCATGTTTAAAATAAAATTTTAAAATAGTTTTAAGTAATAAACCCGTTCGTTCATGGGATGCACACTAGCATAAATTGAAAAGATTTATAAACAAACACCCTTTTTCATTGAGTTTCAAAATATAAAAATATTTTTTCTTGATCGATGTGAAGAAAAACCACAAGAAATCGGACATACAATGGGAGAGTGAATTACACATGAATCATTAAGAAATAAAAAGGGCGATTTAATTGCAAATAAATCTGCACCACCGGCCCTGCCATAAAATCAAGCTTCTCGAAATCCGTAGCCGCACCACAAGTCCACAACCCAAACATCGAGTTTCATATATCCCTATAAATACAAGCACTCTGTCTATCCCGCGTGTAGATACTCTATAGCTCATAGCTCACGGGTACAGCTTTTCTCTCTCCCTCTTCAGAACCCGAATAAAGCTCACAAAGGTGAAAGCCACATTCTCGGTTGTTCAGCTGCGGTTTTTTTTTTGTTTTGTTTTGTTTTGTTGTTGTTGTTGTTGTTGATTTCGAGTGTAGGTAGCTACATTTTTGCCAATGCTATTCTTGAATTTTCTGGGTTGCTTGGTAGCCGCCAAGATCGTCTTTTTTGTGTTGCTCTAATTCCATGTTTCGATCTCGATTTCGAAGAATCTTGATGCCATTTTCTCTTTTTATAAGTTCTTTTCAGCTCAGTACCCTTTTTATTTTTTATTTTTAATTTATCTGAGAGCAATCTTAAATAGGACTAGGAGCTAAAACTCAATAGTAGATGGTATCTACCTTGAAATTAAATGGAGAAGGATGCGAGATGGTCAATGTGTAAATGCTGATTTTTTATTGTATGCTAGTTGATTTATCTTGTTTTGTACAAAAGAGCATTCTCGTGTCTGTTCAGGGATTGTTGCAAAAAGGCCAGTGACTGTAAATTTATGTATATTTTGTTTTATAACCTTGTGCAAAAACCATCAATTTAATCTAAAATAATCAAGAATTCTAACTCGATAGTGGAAGCGTACCTGAATCCATAGGTGATTAAACTTAAGGATTGTGATTGAACATAGGGCTCTATCTTACACAATCCACAGATTCAGACACCACCAAATTACATAGAGCAAGAAGTCTGGGTTGAATTTAATTCCTACTTTTGGGTGACTTTTTGGTTAATTGCTTAATTATTGGTTGAGCAATTCCGAGTTAATTCTGGGCCTATTAATTAAAAATGTTAATGAGATCTGAGTCAATTCTCATTGAGAACCAGCTTGTAAGATGGTGGATGGAGGTATAAAGGTGATATCAGATATAATATTTTGGCTTATAATTGTTGTCTGGATATGCATGATTAAGAGATGCAAAACAGATCTTTTATTCTTTTTGAGGTGATGCCATACACGTTGTCTTCTCAGGGAATCTTTGTAAAAAGAAATTACTTTTGTGTTTGTTCAAGGTTCTATAAGGTTTTTAAACAATTGTTTGGAAACTTTTGTTTTCTTCTTTTATGTGCCAGTCACTGTACTTCTGTAACACTAGTATTTTACCACTCCAGCTTATTGAAATTGTATTTCCTTTCTAACTTACCATTGTTCATGGATTTTCTGTGAAAGCTTGATAAATGGGTTCGACGGCAGTTGAAGACCTGATTGAGGCTTCATCAGGGGCTCATTTCTCGGGGTTTCACTTAAAAAATCAAAGCACTTCACAAGTTGAGCAGCCAACTACTTCTGCACCTGAAAATGTCAAGCAACCTTTTGTCATAGGTAGTGCTAGCATATATCTAACCTTCTTTTGAAAGTGGCCAAATCCATTTGATGCCATGATTTTGTTGTGATATTGTTAAAAGGCTAATATTTTATAGTGGTAGCGGGTGTCGTTTTGTGTTGCCACGTGTAAAAAAAATACTTCATATTTGAGCTGAATTTGCAAATTTAGTGCTAACCCATGTTAGTATATATATATATATATATATATATATATATATATATATAGTGTCTGAAGCATTTTCGAATTACGTATGTAACACAAATTTTGATTTGAGAATAAAATTTCCACAACCAATTAAGGCGAAGAAGTGAAATGATGTCAAGATCTTCAAAGGATTTAACGATTGCCGATTATTAGTAACCACGTTTTTTAAGAAATTAGAATGACATGCTATCTTGTGCTGCCAGCCTTAATTACACTGTGTATGATGTTTTATCAATAAAATTTCAATGTAGGATTCTAATTAGCATGGATATTTGAGTTTAAGTGGGAAGTAACTTTTGGAATCTGATGGCAACCATTTTTACACACAGACTCTAGTTGATCAGGCAATTCTATGGAGGCGTGCATGGCTTAGTTACTTCTGAATATAATGAATACAGTCTAATAGACATTTTTCGATCTGTATCGGATGTCTATATGATTGGAGACGTAATTGGGTCTAGGAATGCAGTAATTTTGCAATTTCACCAATCAGATAGCATGTGATACACAAGGTTCAGAAATAATACTTCCTATTGATATCGTCAGTAAAATGCCACTATAGTTGTAAGATATTTATTTATTTTCCACATTAAATGAAGGTGCACAGCTACTATCAGGATTAAGTGAACTTCACATTTGCTGTAGGAGTAGCATTCTCTGGTTGCTGTGCATTCTTTACATTTTCCTTTTCTATATGAGCATGTATGAGCTTATAGTTCGGTGAGCTGATTGGCTGAAACTTGCATGCCATGGATGAGTTTATGAAGAAACTAGTTCTATTTTCCTGATGCAATTTTAGATTCATTGAGATCAATCCAAGTGAATGCATGAGTTATTTTAAGAATACTGCATTTTAAGTTGATATAAATGTGTTGCAGTTGGGGAGTTGTCATTTATACTCAAATGGAACCCATGACTATTCATTCAGTCTTTCCTTCTACCATTCGGGTTCAGAGTTTCACGCCGTAATATTTCTCTAATTCCTATTTGTTATAAATGCTTCATGACGATCTTGAATATTTTGCATCTCAGGGGTTGCTGGAGGTGCGGCATCTGGGAAGACTACAGTTTGTGATTTGATAATAGAACAGCTTCGTGATCAGCGTGTTGTTCTCGTTAACCAGGTATGACACTCTCTAGGATACAAAAATCATTAGTTTTCCTTTCTGTTCTTTCTTGTGAAGTGGTAGCTCTTTTCTTTTTTATTGCAATAAATTACATGTCTGCACGTACACTGAACATTTTCTGTGTTGGGTTTTTTGAAAAGTCTAACTAATTGACTTTTCCCTGTGACATCTTATCAGGATTCCTTTTATCACAGTTTGACACCGGAGGAACTTAAAAGAGTTCATGAATACAATTTTGACCATCCTGGTTAGTTTTGAGATTTTTTAGCAACTTTGTCTTCCTTAGAATTTTTCTATCTTTGTTGATTCATCAGTTTGTTAAAGATCTGTCTGCTAAAAGATGTATGGTGGCCCGTGTGTGCGTTTTGATACTGTACTTGCTTAGCACTAAATTTATGAAACATACCATTTTACTACGAACAATTTTGGTCATGTCCTGATTTTTATTTGTAAGCCTTCTCTGTTAGTGTCATTACTTTGCAGTAATTTTTTATTTATCCACGTTCATTTTTACCTTGCCATTTTATGTATATGATTAGCACAGAGTTCTGACCGTGTGTTGATTTCTTACTACCTTTGTACATGATTCTTTGGTTTTCTGGCATGTGTGAGTAAAATGGTGCTTCTTTTTTTAGTTTCATTACTAGAATTGTTTGGCACTCGCAAATTATCTAGGGTTGTTATTGGAACCGAGTTGTTGGTTTGGCTCGAGCTCAGCTCATTAACAACTTAAACGAGCCGAGATCGAACAACTAATCGAGCTCTTTTTATTATACTAGCTGAGCCGAGCTTGCTTGCAAACAACTTGGTTAGGTTTACGGTTA